CTTGGGGTTGTGGAGGCTGACATTCTTGCAGTCCATCTGTCTACTGGACTAGTCGTTTCCACGCATTGTGGATTTTCTTCACTCTTCTTTCCTCCCCATAGCAGGCGGCCAATAGTTGCACCTTGGATAGGCACGCAGGAGCTGCTGAGACCCAAGTCATGACTCCGCAAAGTGGAACGCAGGACACCGTCTCGGTGGATTAGGTTGTGCCAACTGACCTTGGTGTTCCCCAGGATAATCGCATGCCGTTTCTAAGAACTGTGATCAATGGATTGCAATGGTTTGCTTCTCCACCAAACTGTCCTAACCAGTCTGCAAACAGGACTGGGCATAACTGCAAGCAGAGCCCGAGGGAGCAAGTCACAGAGTGAAGTCAGGCAACGAGGAGAGGAGGGCAAAGACCAGGGTTGGGGAGTCTGGGGTGTCGTGAGCAGATCAAGGAGCTCTGGGGGCACAATGTATAAGCGCTTGGTCGGCAGTTTGAACCTGCTAGGGGAGCGGTTCCCAACCTGTGGGTCGTGATCCCTTTGGGGGTAGAAGGAGCCTTTCACAGGGGTCGCCCGAATCATAATAGCAAAATGACAGTGATGATGTAGCAACGAAAATAATGTTATGGTTGGGGGTGACCACAACATGAGGGGCTGGACGAAAGGACCGAGGCATGAGGAAGGTCGGGAACCACTGTACTAGTGGCTCGGTGGGAAAAAGATGTGGCAGTCGGTTTCCATAAAGACTTACAGCCCTGGTAACCCCACGGGGCAGCACTACTCTGTCCAACAGGGCTGCTGTGTTGGAATCAACTCAATGGCAATAGTTTTTCCCCCCTTTTAATTTTAACGAACAGATCAGGTGCTAGCACCGCGCGCAGGACTGGCCCTTTCTCTGGGGTGCGCTCTGGGGCTAAGTCTGAAGTGTATAGCTTTGAGATTGTGGCTCCCTGCCATGAAGTGGTTCCAAGGAGAGCACATGGAGCTGCACTTTCAACTTCCGGTACCGTTCTCCCAGGGAAGAGCACCTTCATTTTATCCAGGGCAATCAGCTGACCAGACCTGAGAACACAATTCATTTGATCTCCTAGGAACTTCACAACTAGGCTGGAAGTCCAGTTAGGCGTTAGGTAGAGACGCCTACTGGTGGAGTGTAATATTGCACCCAAGCTCTACAAAGTATGGTAATCGTGATACCACAAAATTGACGCAGGCGGCTTAAGTTGCCAGTGCGAAAGCAAAAGATCCCTAGGCATTCCTGTGGTCCACCAGGGAACAAAGGAGACAGAACAAGCCAGGAGTCAAAAAGAGATCTGGTAGAGGAGGGGTGAGTTTTAACACTGAGAGGATGTTCTAAAAATATTACTAGGAGGTACAGTGGCTGATCTGCCAGACATTTTCTACTGGGGTTATTTTCTTCATGATTATATACGTTCAATTTTAAAAGTGAGTAGTTCTAAAATAGATTTGTTTCCCAGAAATTCAACAGAATACCAATCTTGTTGCATGTATCAGCAAAGAAGAAAATAAGTCAATACGTAAAAGGCAGAAAAATTGGGAAGGAAATCACATGATCTGTTAAGTTTGGGGAGGATGTTAGAGCAGAATTTGAGACCAACATTAGCCAAGATTTGAATGAGCTACCCAGCCATGACTAGGGCATGCTGTCAACAGATAAGCCTTCTCCAAGGCAGGGTTCTGGACCAGAAATTCCAGGGTGTGAGCTGTCAACATCACATCCCTTCAAAATTCAGTCAAGAAGGCTGGTTCTAAACTAGAGGAAGTGTTCGAAGGTCAGATAAAAAAATAAGGCTAAGCCCAGCATGGGTTTAAGTCTAAATAAGAAAGATGCTATTTTCCACCCAGTTGAACTATAAATAAATCCATCCCCGATCATTGTAGGTCAGTGATAGAACAGTGATGACCACAAATTAGAGCTTCTCCTCTCTTTCCCAGACAAGTCCTCCTATCAAGCTGGTTCCAACTGGACACTTTTTGTTTTCACAAACCAGAGCGGTCTCTTTCCTCTCTGCCCGCCTTCCTTCCAGGGCAAGAGTCCCTGCACACACAAAGCCAACATCCCCGTGACCTGCCATGAGGAGCAGACCCCTCTCCTCTCCGCTCTTTTCTAAGAAACCCAT